AGAGAGAGAGAGAGAGAGAGAGAGAGAGAGAGAGAGAGAGAGAGAGAGAGAGAGAGAGAAGCATATAATTATCATATAAAATTTTACACTATTCTAGAGCCCATAAGAAATTCACGTTACGTTCTAGAAAGGTGTAACTTCATGTTATATGATTGTTATACCGATCTCTGATTAATAATGTTTCGTTCAGGATCAGTTATACACCCGTGAAATCACGACTGACGACTGTGATGGGTGACCACGTGGTGCGACTAACGGATCGCGAGTACATGACGCGACTCGCGAAGAAGTTACAGGAGGATCACGAAGCGCGGCAGAAAGCTCGCATCGAGCGGATGAAATTGAAGCAGACTTCGATCGTGCCGGAATTGAGCGCCTTGCCCGAATCGTTACTGCGAGAAATGCCTCAATTACGACGACGACGACGACGGCTACAGGGCTGGTGCGCACCGAAACTTCACGTGGAGGCAGCCAAAATGTGCAAGCAACTGCCGGAGCTTTTGCTGGCGGACGATTCGCAGCTCGAGGCGAATCTTGTGGACGCGGAATAGTTCCCATTCAAACTCCTCTTCTTTCTTTTGACACAAGATTGAGTACAAACGTGTAAAAATATAAAATCTCGGCGCAGTTCCGAAAAGTCTAATGTCAAACATATTCTTGTAATAAATAATAAATCAACAGTAGATTTGTACGTCACACAAGTGTTCTTAGCCTAATATTAAATAAAAACAAATGTAATGCGGTGCTGATAAATCGCATGATCATCGGTGGAGATGTATCTGGTATGAAGACGATCTCATCGTGCTGATGACGCTTAAGTTGCCATTTGCTTCTGCGATTTTTTCAGCAATTGTAGCACGATATTTTGATTGACAGGAACTTGGACCAGTATTCCTTTCATACTGCGATCGATGGACATTTCCGTGTCCTCGGATGCTGCAAGGAAAGAAATCACTTTTAATAATAATAAGAAAAAAAAAGAAATTATTTTTAATAATTAGAATTTATATAAAAATCTCCGTTTGTGTGCAGTCTTTGCTTTTGAACGCTGCATATATATAATTCTATTAATTTAATTTATTATGCGAACTTACCTAGGAAATCCTGATCCCAAGAACTGGAGTCATCTAACAGCTGCTGAAAACCCGACGATATGAACAGCGAAGGATCGGGTGCGTATTGATGCTGATAGTTAGCCCATCCAAACGATCTGATGATATCGCTGAAAAAAGAAAATCGCGGAAATGATTCATTTAGTTAATCACTTTCTCCTAACGCGTCACACTTGTCGAGAGCCTATCATTTTGTATGAAATTATTTCTCCTCGGACATAATTGATGCGCCGTGAAGCAGCGTGTTTTAATTTTTTAGTTATTATTAGCAGGATATAATTATATATACCTGTAGAGTTTGTCGAGATTCCGTTTATCTGGTGCTTTCCAAGCTAACAAAGGGACTTGCATTGGGTAATAATGCATGTGATAGTGCTGTATGTTCATTTTAGGCGGCTGCTTCTTCGCCTTTAACGACTGGAAGAACTCCATCAGGGCTTTCTTAGGGCTGAAACGCGCGAGAAAACAATGCGCCTTAACAATGATTGGAAATACAAGAACCTACAAAAATCTCATATTTTAAAAATTAATTTCTCGTCTTTTATATGACAAGATTTTATCGCACCAGTTGAGTTGAATTAATTACACTTTTTTGTCGAGCGTTCAACAGCATTGACGCGAAGGAGAAATACAGAGAAGACGCACTCACTACTCAAAGAAAAACTCTTCCGACGGTGCAGCCACCAACATCAAAAGTAACGCCAACTGCAAATCACAAATGATTAATTAACTCGTGCCTTTTTTCAGCTCTTCGTTTACTACATTTTACATTTAACATATAATTTTCATATCTTATCTTAACATTTTACATTTAATTTTGCAATGACTGTCGATCGTTTCGTCTGACAAATGTTAAAAATATATTTTTACTAACCGTTCTAAGAAAAGAACTATAAGAATTAAAAAATATTTATTTAGTAGGTACTAATAATATATTTACTTATACTAATACAAAATATTTTTCAAGTAAGGAAATAATTCCTTAAAATCTTAAGAATTCTTAAGAATCTTAAGAATCTTTTAATTCCTTAAAATTTTAAGAATACCTTAGCTTTTTAGGAAAGCAATTATTTATTCTGTTTGAATAAACGAATTTAAATTTTAATAAATATATTATTAGTACCAAATTAATATTTATTATTTTTTATATACTATTTCTGTCAGTGTGCGTTACATGAGGATCGTTATTGTGTTGTTAGTGAATCACACAGAGCACATTGTCGCGATCGCGCGAACATTAATGTAGCGATATATCCCTTCGCACTTTACGCCTTCACAGTAATTACATTTACGAGGTTCGCGCTTGCGATAAAACCGACGCGCGAGACGCGTTCCGTATCTTTTAAATACACCCACTAGATCTCGATATCTACTCTCTCGTGTCATTTACTTGCAGTATTGGCCCCGTCTTCATATTGATGCACTGAACCGTAGTTGGCTAGTTTATCTAAACCGCAGCAGACTAGTCGTACGATCGAGACTGCCGCGCGATACGCGTACGACACGCATTTCAACGAAACTGGATCGCTTTATAACCACACTCTTACCCTCTTTCTCCTCGCGCTCGTGTTTTTCATCTTTTCCCTCGTGCGATGAGTCAAGCAAGCTTGCCGAAACAAACTTGCATTGTAAATCGACGGATCATCAACTTCCTCACTGTCCTAGGGCAGTGTTAATTTGTGGACCATCAATCTCAAAGTTTTTCCTCTTATCGAAACGGCAGACAGAAATATTTCCGAGACTCTGGTGGATATAAATTGTTGTCATTTTTAATTCATGAATCCTTTACGTAATTTTGAATTAAAAATTTTTTTTATAGAATATTTAGTTGGAAGAAGTTCTCATTTTTTAAGCAATCTGATTAAGAGAACTTTCGAACTTATAGAAAATATAATAAAAGGATTTTTTAGTTTTTAAAGGAAATTAATCAATAAATGTTTTGTGATTAGAAACTCTAAAGGAAATTCGCAAAAATAGATCGTATAACTTTCGTCCTACTTTCCATCGAAGCGTTAAGAAATGTATCGGGTTTTATAGAAGTAATACTTTGTAAATAACTACATGTCAGACGAAATGGCCTAATTATATATACTTGAAACAAAAATAAGACAAATCCTTCTAACTTTGAGTAACGCTTCTCGCGTAACCGGTGAGGTGGTTGTTTTGCGATTTTGCTTTTCTCTAGAATCGTAACAACGTAGTATGTGAGAAATAAGATTCACTAAGCAATCTGAGAAACTGGAAATCGACATGAACAAGATATTCCACGCATGGTTCTAATCGAGGATTATCATTATACCTCGCGGGCACCTTTCACATCCGTGTGCAAAACAGAAGATGAAGAAAAGTGAAATTGACATTGACGGTGGGTTATCCACCGGTGCTACATGTCGAGTTTTACGGCGATTATCGAGCTTTCGAAGCTGTGCATCGCAGTGTCACGCTTAAATCCACAATGGGAAGTTACAAGAGGCGAAGTGGAAGACGCTGGTCGGCGATTTCTCTGAAAAGTAAAATATCTCACGTTTCTCTCGAACCATAAACGTTAAATTTGCTATTTCGAGATGATGCGTAAAGCAGATACTCCTTACTCGTCGGTGGTTCCATCAGTTTTAATCGATTTCGGCCATTTTTCATTCGAGGCGCTCGTTAATGTCGTTTTTGAGAAAGTTTACATGGTCAATAGAATAGCCAGGGTTTTGTGCGTTTTATTATCTTCACGGGACTGTAACCAGCGACATATCATTAGCTTCAGTTTAATAGTCGAACAAAATTGTGTCGTGCTAATTTGTCTGACAAGACATCGCTATAAACGATATGATAAATTGCACATTTATGCGCACATAACATGCACATGCAAGCGTATGCTTTACGACCGGGGATAATACCGGTGACAAATCCTACGTCGATCAGTTTCGCCAAGGCATTAGCCCAGATCTATAATGTGCTCATTGTTTTCTCTTTCTTTATTTCTTCCTGTGATTTAAACTTTAAGCTCTTAGTCAGAAAAAGATGGAGAACAAGAAACAGGAAGTAAAGAGCACATTGTATATCAGGCTTTAAAGTCGTCCTACTAGCACAATAATCTCTGAACCGAAGGAACACGAAGAAGACGAGCGCTTTCACAGACGTGGCTCATCTTCCCTTGCTGCTCACGCGCGCGCGATGACAATAATACGACGAGGAAATCAGTGGTTTCTATTTCGTACAAATGCACTAGCTTTACGTGAAAGGCATAGGACGGCGCGATTGAACTGGACACGTCATTATGGGTGATCGTAAAATTGCAGTCTGTTCTTTAACGAAGACGACTACTATGACGACGACAGCGTGTGGTTATTTACACTCGCCACAATATACCAGGAGACATTATCATCATTTGCATCAAACGTCCCGCGAACCATGTCGCTTCACATAGCAGAATCTCGCTTGCAGTGGTGACTAATGAACCGTATTGCCTCTGTAAAATAGGACGCCGGGATCTTTTCTTCTTTTTTTTATATCCTACGAAAGAAAGAGAGAGATGCAGATATTACATTTTTCTTAATAGTCATGATTTAAAATAAAAATTGTGAATAATTAATTACTTGTTTTATTCATTATCGCGTTTAATTTATGATTAATATGAGTCAGTTCAATTAAAAATGATTTTATTGACAATTAATTTCAATAATCAAGTCAATTAAACAGCTTTTAATTAAATATGTTGAGCTCAATTGTCAATTGAATAGCTTTTAGTTAATTTAATTTGCTGAGAGAGAGAGAGAGAGAGAGAGAGTTTAATTGTTAATTGAACGATTCCCTTTGCTCATACTTTATAATTATCAATTGAACGGTCTTTAATTGAATTTGATTGAAAATATTTTAAAAATATTGGAATGCCGAAATTGATAATATTTTAATATAACGTTAAGAACTACATATATTACAAAACGTTGCGATAACGAATTCAATCAATTTTTTTTGCTTGCTGAGTTAAAACCGAAAGTTTCAAGCAATGAGTGTAGTGATACGGGCTTTAGAAACATGAGTTCAAAATGAAATTCTTTTCATGTGACACGCGATTACGGAGGAAATGACGGAACTTTTTCTCATTTGCCAAGAAGAAGGAAAAGACACGGAAGCGCGCGGTATTAGCGAATAAATTGAGGAGAAGCTTGATCCTTGCGAAGTGATTCTATTATCCACAAAGACCGTTCCGTGAATCATTGAGACGCCCTCCGGCTGTCAAGATCGACTGCGACAACCCTTGGTTACAAGAACTTTCCCTGTAAGAGAAAGCAATATTGCTAATGAAGGCGCCGCCGGAAAATTGTCGAGCGTGAACCGGTTCTGGCGCCGTTTCCTCAATCGATCGATCGATTCGTCGTTGTCTTTATTGTCGTTCTCGTTGAAACGCGCGACGATATGGTGATCTATGCCGAGCCTGTCTCTACAAAACAAAACCAGCAGAATGATCGCGACATGTACATGCGCGCGATTTCTCTCGCACGCGATCGACGTCGTCGAGAAATAAATAAGTACAAGTGGAAGGATGGGGAAAACACGACGGAAAAACCATCACGTTCATGCGAGATGCGACTTGGTCGTTTTAAGATTCTCCTATTACCTCTCGCGTCCCGTTATATCTCCTCATTTGTTGCAGTTTATTTTAGCGATATTTATAAGCGTCAAACGTATGAATTTTCTTACGCGAGTTTTTGTAATCGCGATGAAGAGGCACAGCCGCCGCCGTTTCCGCGACGTTATTAACGTCATCATTATCCTTATAACGTATCATTGGTTCTTAAATGCGGATTCTGTGAAAATTAATCGGCTAATATGATCTACAAATATATAAACTTGTATCTGGCCATTTTTTAAACTCACCGCGACGTTGTGAGGCGAAAGGACATAGGATTCAGGACAAAGATTCAGGATTTGACGATGATGAGAATTTCAACCGCGTCTTCTGCATTTGCGTGACAGTTGAGGAAGTCTCGAGGTTAATTGAAAAGCGCTGACATGATTACTAATTAGCGTTCCCGAGCGTTTGATAGTTATGATACCTGAAATATCATTCGTGCGAGTAATTAATCATCGCAAAAGTATAATTATGTTGCTTAGACATAAATATGTATACAACTTTACGAAATATACCTGAGTAACAATGAAAAAAGTACACCACATGGAAGGTTAACTGTTCAGATGCTCACGACAGATGCCAAAGACATTCGGTAACGTCAACATTCGCCTATACCAACAGCGGTCGGTAATGAAGATACACTACATTATCTTCTGGAGAGAAGAACATCGATATTACCGACTCTACCTCAGTTGTAAGATGCTTCAGGAAGACCCGAAGACAATTGGTGACTCTCTTCCGTAATTAATATGTAGTTAAATCTAAATAGTTAACTTCTTATCCAATATATTATTAACCTTCTTTAATTAACAATGGATTGCTTAGGATATCTAGATACGAATCTCTCGTTCTTGATCCCGTGACAAAAGTCTCCAATAAGATCTAACCTATAGATTGTCAACGTGGTTATCGACGCAGTTCACGACTGGGTTCGCTTTTATGGGCCTAGGAGGCGTTTCGATGCGACACCGGCGGAATGCTTCGACAACGACGACGAGGGAAGAGACGGGCAGGAAGGAACGAAGGAGTTGCGCGCGCGCGTGCTGAGAACAGGACGCGCAACGATAGCTTTTCGTAGCTCAGAGCACTGTAGGCGGTGTGTCTCGGATCAGCGGTCGTTCAACACGCTCATTTCCTTCGTTCGCTCGTAATCCGGTTGTGACTTAGTACGTGAGTGCGTGCGTGCGTGCGTACGTGCCGGCAGTCGCATCTTTCGTCTCGCGTTCAGCTCTCGGTGACGCGCGCGGTCGCGCCGGTCAACGATGTAGGCATACACACGCGAGGAAAACGCGCGAGCGCGCCGGCGCGGTGGGAGGGTCCAGGGGCGGGGAGAGGAGGCGAGGCGCTCGAGCTCGGCGAACGGAACGGCCGGTGGCGGCGGAAGAACTGTTCTTCTTCTCGGTCGCGACGAGGCGGCCGATGTCAAACATGCGGCGACGAATTTTCTGCGCGAGCAGCTCGACGACGACGGCATCGCGAACGACGAAGGCAACGCGGACGACGAGAACGACGACGACGACGACGACGAGGAGATCGGGAAAGACGACGATAACGGCGAATTGGCGACGGCGCGCCACGGCTGTGTTTTGCTGCCAGTGAAAGCATACACTCACGCGCGCGCACGTAAACACGCCGAGCATACGACACACACACATATATATATATACACACACACAACGCGCCACACACACACATACACACGCACCGGTGCGCGGCTGCCGATGAGCGCGGATATATGGCGGCGCGAGTACTCTTGCTGAGCGTCTTGATTACGGAAGTGTTGAAGCCCGCTTGTGCCGCAGGTGCGTAAACGCGCGAAGACGACTTGCGATCTGTGCTCTCTTCGCGGTCCGTTCTGTCCGTTATCATGTGGTCCTTGTATCGTAGCGAGGCAGACTCGGGCCGGCGATGATCGCGTGCTCCGGAACGCGCGACGACGTACTGCTTGTATGCGCACATGAGCCCAGGCGTCGTCGGCGTTCTCGCGAATTTCTCTGTTCTTGTCGTGACATTCCCGAAAGCTTCCTCCTCGCTGTCGCGAGAGAAAAGGTACTGCGCGTCGACGGCGCGTGGTGTACGATGCCGCATTGCCGAGGAGGAAGCATTGACCCTTGCGTTGTTATTCGCGTCCGATAATTCGGCGAGTCGTGTGCGTTCTCTTTTGCATCTTGCGAGAAGATCGTAACTCATGAACTGCCCGTTCGGCAGGTGTTAAAGGTATCGGGGGAAACTTCGGTGGTAGAAACGTGTCCAAACCAGATATCTCCGACGCCGGTCCGACTAAAGGCGCTGGGTTAACATTGGAAATTCAACCTAGTGGCCATGTGATACTAGGAAAGAAGGGGATCACGCTCACCTGCACAGCTAGTGCCAATGAGAATATAACCTGGCTTCACAATGGAATACGAGCGCCTCCATGTGGTCTTACTCGCTGTGTTCTTCTTAAAAATGGCTCTCTTCACTTTCACAAGGTAACGTTGCTATGGCATCATTATTGTGTCTCAATATTGCAATATGACATAAGCATTATTATTATTAAATCATAATCTCATCATATTTTCATAAAATATCAAAATTATAAGGTCTATTTTTTGTAGGTCTATACTTCCTGAATTGTCTTGTAATCTTTCTATTGTCTCTTCCACTGTGTCTATACTTCCTAAATTGTCTTGTAATCTTTCTATTTTCTTGTTTCTTCCACTAAGTGTCAAATATATATTTACTTCATTTTATATGCAAACTATGCAACTTAATATAGCTGTACAGAACAGATCTGTAATGTACACAGGATTCTTTCACATTAATATATTGTGTTGCAGAAACAAAATTTACAAATGCAAAAGTTCAAAGAGAAGGAAAGGAATAGTATTGTTAACGCTAGAAACCATAATGAAGAGGAATATCGCTGTGTAGCAAATAATAGTTTAGGAGAGCTGGTGCGATCAGCTCCTACATTTATTCAGATAGCAGGTAATTGCGACTCTTGGTACATGCAAATGTAAAATTATTACCTTTTGTTTTGCTATTTCAAATCATGTGTCTACAATCGTGTGTTACAGAACTTGCCCATGTATTTAAAGAATCGCCCGAAAATATTACTGTTCGAGAAGGCGAAGTCGCAAGATTTTCTTGCTTGATAGACAGTGTTCCTTTCCCACCCAATATTACATGGCAACATAATGAAACATTGTTGTCTTACCATAATGAATCAAAGTATTCCGTGGTACCACCAGGTGTTCTGTATATAAGTGCAACGAAACTATCAGATGCTGGCTCATATAGGTATGATGATTATTAACAATTTCTATATAGAGATTGTAAATGTGCTAAAAAAAACCTCATCTATAATCTCTCGTGCCCTTCTCTCTCAATTACTGTAAAACCTTTTATTTTCCAGATGCATAGTCACTAATGAATTTCTAAAGAAGACCAAAAAGAGCAGAGAAGCAAAATTAACGGTTATCCCGAAAGCAAAGAGCAACAAATCGCATACCCCATCGTCTTTGTTTCCGCAAATATCGTACAATCATTGGCTGCTTAACGGCTCAAGTCTGAATTTAGCATGCGCCGCATCTGGTTATCCATCGCCGCTCATAACATGGTCGTTTATTCCTCGTTACATAGGTAAGTAATCAGAACGCAAATATCGAATTAACCGGAAGTTTAATTCGCCTAACGTGTCTGTTCTTAGATAATGTTACGCAACCTCGCATTCTCCTTAATTCCACTACCGGCATTGGTATACTGTCGCTGAGAAACGTCAATGCTTCCAATGCCGGTGTCTACTTGTGTTCTTCGAAAAATTCGATCACCAATGACTTAGAAGTACAGGTAAGTGTGCAGTTGCTATTGTTAAAAAACAAAAAGAAAAGTTACTCATCGCGGATACATCTTTCTACTTGAATTGTTGCAGAATATAACCGTAGACATATTGATACCGCCGTCGTTTATGAAAACGCCGACGAACCAAATTTGTCCGAATGGGAGGACAGCGAGGTTCGAGTGTCAGGCGCAAGGATCACCCGTACCTCAAATTTATTGGCTGAAAGACTCGTCAAATATTACTATCAATGGTAAGCCGCGGAGCTGTTACAGTCATTAGATTTACCGCGATTTTTACGATCAACATTCTCTAACGCATTCTAACATTGACATTGACAGGTCGCAGAACGACTTATGTTAAGGAATACAATAAAATAGAACTAGCAATATCGGCAACAGTGCCGAACGATACTGGCATATACCAGTGCGTGGCGGTGAATCCAGCGGGTGAAATTTGGGCTGCTGGCCGGCTCCAAGTAAATACGTCGCGCAATAGTCCCGCTGCGCCCACTTCTCTAAAATGTCATGCCGTTTCACCAGTTAGAATCTTAATTTCTTGGGAACCACCAAAGTCTCTACCATATACCAGTATTACAGCTTATACCGTCCATTATAGTCCTGTAGGTGAGTTGGATTATACACCTCGGGATAAGTATAGTGCCAAGTTGATACAGAGAAGAGACTCGTCACATTCTTAAGTAAAATAGAAAACATAATTATTTAATTTTGAAGTACTTGTAATTTCTCCAAAGAAATATAATATATAGAATAATATTGTCTCAGTACTTTCTTATACATTTAAATTTTAAAAATTTTCTTTTTCTTTTAACACACTTCTCATATCACACACAACACATAGTGTCTTTTTTAGACACAATTTAATAGAAAAATGATCTCTTTTGCACCGATCTAAAAGAATTGAGAATTGTGTGTGATTTCGCTATACATTGTATATTTACATATTTAATATGCATTTCCAATGACAGAGGGTGGTAAGGAGGAAGTTTCCCCACCGGAACCAGGAAACTCTACATCCGTAGAAGTAACAAAGCTTCTCGAACCGTTTACAAATTACTCGTTCTACGTACGAGTGTGGAATAATTATGGTGCTAGCGATCAATCGGCTACCATTCTGTGTTCCACCGCTCCAAGTGGTACGCATTCTTACAAATATATATCCGCATTAATTATAAAGCACTACAGAATGTTATTTTGACCATGCTAAACCGACCGATTCTACTGCAGTTCCTAAAGGCGCACCAAAAATAAATGTGGATATAATCAGTAGTACAAAGCTAAATGTATCATGGGAGCCTTTGAGTAAGAAGGAATCTCGTGGCGTTGTGGTAGAATATAAACTTCAGTGGAGACTTCACCAACACCCATCTTCCAAACTACTCGAACTACCTGCTATTATCGAAAACTATATACTTTCTGGTACGATATCACACTGTGTTGTACTTTTTTCTTTAATTTTATGAAATGCAACATCATGTTTGCATATTGTTATATGTTGCAGACCTGATACCTGGAGCACAATATGATCTACGAGTGTTGGCGAGAACAAAGCAAGGCTGGTCGAACATTAGCGAGACGCAATTTGAGTGGGTCACTGTGACCATGCCGTCACCTGAAACTAATCAATTTACTATAAGGAACGTTGTGGATATTCAAGTACTAATAGTGAACGCTTCATTAGTTAAGGTTTGTATGAAATGCTCATCGAAATGCAGATTGAATGCTGAAATCCTTATAATTATTAAACTTGACTTTAAACGTGATTATTTCACCAGATGAAATGGAAAATAAACTTCAAGCAGAACGAATCGGACTTCGACTCCTGGCAGATATACTGTGAAAATCAAGATGGTGAAAAATTGAAAACTATTTTTCTGCCACAGAACATGACTGAGTATCTGTTCACTAATCTTGGTAAGTATATTCTGTATATTAATATCCTCAAGTAGTGTTCAAATGTTTGGAATACTGTTTATGTAGAATTAAAACTATTATTGTATAACTACTATTATATTATTTTTTTGCTTCTAGATATGAATGTTTCTTATACAATGGGTCTGTGTATGGTGAGTTCGGGTCACACAACAGGTTGCTTGACAAAACACATAGAAACCACGCAATTTGATTCTAGTAAGTTCATCAGGCTCTTGCAGATAATATTCATGTTTTGAATAGGCAATAAAAATGTATATGACTTACGTACAACTAATTTATAATCTCGTCTTTTAGGTGATGTACCAATGGCTCTGGAGGCCATTCCTGTCTCACCCACGTCCATTAATGTAACGTGGACATTGTTGGACACACATATTGTAGATTCGTTCGAGCTTTGTTATCACGCAGTGCATGTACAAAATTCCGACAATTTCCAATGTTTTATCATGTAAGTACGCTTTGATCATATCTGCGAACATAAATTTGCATATTAAATATGTTATTCTATCGTATTGTATATACTTTTTTTTTCATATATATTACAGAGACGATACGAAGGCAAACGTTGATAAGCTGAAGCCTTTTACATTATACCAGTTCAAAGTGAGAGCTATTAGACACGACATGAATGAGACCAGTCTCTATAGCGAGTCTATAGAATGCTACACGAACGAAGATGGTAAGAAAATTGAAGAGATTTGTCACTCGAAATTACGATGCGCGTCCGGTTTTAATATCACTTTATAATCGAATATTTTAGTTCCCGGCAAAGTTGAGAAAGTGGAGTGGTTCTTGGGGAACAATACCAAGGTACGAATCGCGTGGAAAGAGCCGAGTAGTGTGAACGGAGTCATACAGAGTTACTTTGTCGCGTATACCATGGACTTGACGGAGACAACGGTGACATGGGGTAACGTGACTGTGCCTGGTAACAAAACGTCGACGACTCTACCGGGTTTGGCGCCAGGGAAACGTTATTTCGTTGTGGTGCAAGCGGCGACGAGAGCCGGATACGGGAAGCCGTCGGATCCTATTATTATTATCACTGGTGGTGGCGCGTCGAGACCTACCTCGTCGGACAAGAAAGAGCCCTCGCAAAATATCAGTCCCGATCAGAGTCTAGGTGAGACAAAGTGCTAGGTTAATGCAAAAAGTTCATTGTAACCTTCACAAGCCGGAATTTGATAGAAAAATTAAATCTTTTGCACTTATCTAATATTTAAATCGATATATTGAAACTACAAGTGATATAAAAGTTCAGTTTTGATCAGAGCATGTAGATAGCGATTGTATGGTTGATGTTATTCTAAAGAGAGTGGAAATAATTCCTTCTTACGTGGCTTGTTTATACTTTCAATGTTTCAGTTAAGTAATAATTAAGCTTGACAACTCACTCTATAATTTCATCGTGTGTGTGTGTGTATAGGTGTGGTTCTTGGAGTGAGCATAAGCATCGGCTTCATCATGATATGCCTATGCAGTATATATTGCCGGCGCAAGTACGAGAATTCCCGCTCGTTCCGCAACGACGCTCAGCCTACGAATGGGCGCGTACTGTCGCGGAACGGAAACGGATGCTGCGTGGAGCAGTCTTCCGCATCCGCAAGCCAGCAGGTAAACGCTATTGGTGGTGCACCGAATGAGATCGAACTAGCCGTGCTATGTCCGTCGTCCCCGATCGAGACAAATCCGCATTCCGATGCAAAGGTAATTGTCGGAAAATTTGATTATATACCTTAGGTCAGCGTTTCTTGACATAAGAAAGACATGTAACACGCAATTTGTTCTATACACAGGGTGCACAATCCAATGGAGTTTTTGAGAATTGCGTGAGAGAACCTCTTTTGTCGCCGTGGGAGATAAACGGAGACTCGAAAGATGTTCACATCATGGAGAACCCTCAGGTATAGTTGAAAAGTTAAACTTTGTTGTACTATAGATAGCTGAGAAGGGTTTAATTTCCTTACTTTACAAATGAGCATATCATCGACTCATTAGCAAACGATCGGTTACTAATTGTTGACTCTTTCGTCGCGTTGCAGTACAAAAGAAGAGGTAGTTCCACCTCAGATCAGCAGGATGAGGAGGAGGACAGAGAGGAGCCAGATTTAGAAGGCACACAGCTCACAATGGTCAATTGTACTTTAGGCAGTAGCGCTAGCAGTCTAAATAACAACTCAGGATGCCCGGACGGGGAGATTGCATCGCCGAAGGCCGCGTGCTTGTCTGTCCCAGCGCTCGGACCGAACGGGTGAAAAAGCGCGTTTAGGCAATACGCTAAAAGTGTTCAATACTTCTCACCGGGTCTATCGGGTCGCATCAGGTAGGAGTACATGAATTCTCCCTTTTCCTCATTCACACACAGCTGACACACAGCAAGTCGGTCGATTCTCTCGATCGAGACGCGGGAGAACGCAACGAGAAATTCCGGCATTCCTGAAAAAGAAAACAAGAGCAATGCAATAGAAGAAACACCATCACCTCTTCGCAGTTTCGAAGCGCGCTTTCTAGCTCGCCAACAAGGACGACATCGTCTGATACATACATCCACAACCTACGGCCGATGTAAATAATACCGTTTCGGAAAATCCGAGTGAGTAGTAATCGCTATATTGTACATACGACCGCAGAGTAAGGTGCGCTTTGTCGTGAAGAGAATAAACGAAAGAAAGCAAGGCGCATCTGCGTGAGCGTAGTTTGGCGAAGACAAACGACAATTTCTCAGAGACTCACTCTGCATCGTAGAATCGTGACAAAATCACGAGACGCGATGTAGATGATACTTAAAAGTGTTTGTCAGATGCTCGTATATTTAAATGAATACGCGTATAAGTGAGTGACTTGTCGACGAGCTGAGAATTGAAATGAAAAAAGAGAGTGTATAAATAGAAAGAGAGACCCACATGAATAATAAGAAACTAAACCGGAATGAAATAGCAGGTTTCTCCGATGCCGCTGTACATAGGATAGAGTAATTGTTAATTGTGAATAATGTCCATAAGATATCACACTTCGAATACCGTATAGTACAGAGAAGAGAGACATGGGAGTATGCATTCCTTCGCGTTTGGGAATACAAAATTGCTATTGAAAACGAAAAAAAAAAGGAGAGAAAAAATTTACGCCCAGGCAGCAAGTATGGCCTAAACTCAGTCGACAAAGTTTCACGTTGATATAATTAGGATAATCCACGGGCTGATGACAAGATTGCTTGGAAGAAAAACGAAGCAATGACACTGATCATTCCAACATAAGTTTTCCGTTGGTAATATATATATATATTATATACATATATATATATATATATATATATTTAACTGTAAACAAAGAAAAAAAGCTTTTAGTATTAAGAGAGAAAAACAGGGAAAGGCTCTAACCAGATGCTACGCGTTTAGGAACGTTAAGAAGAGTTTTTTATTCCGCGTTTTTCCTAATTTCTTTCGTTTTTCTTTTTTCTTTCTCTTCCTTTCTTCTTTTTTTTTTTACTTTACCATATGTGTGTCATTAATGCGAGATATCGTTTTATTTCACAGATTCCTTCAGGAATCAAAGTTGGATTTCTTTCGCGTTTAAAGTTGATCATGTATCGCGCGCGATGAGAAGTGTTTGTGAAGCAACTTCGAAACTATTTACCGTAAGTTTTTGTTTAAAGTGGACTAAGTCGAGTATATTCATACTTTTTGAATCAATGATCAAAGATCCTATGAATGGGAAGAATACGCAGAAAAAATAGATTACGCTCGGGAACTATATACATTTGCGCGAATTTGCGGCGTGCAAACGCGATGGATCATTTTCATTCTCATCCGATCATTTACTTCGATTATAATAAGAGATCTTAAAGACTGGTGTACATTGATAGACGATATTTTTATAATTAACCGATAACTTCCTCGGAATTAACGTAAGACGAAGACTTTTATACATATACATACACACACGCACTCCTTCCTGGACTTCTTTCCGTTCATAAGATTGACATATGGTTTTTTTTTTCTTTTTTCTTCTTTTTTTTTCTTAGACAATTAGGCAGCCGGTACAATTAATGTATTCGGCGACTTTTTGTTTTACGATATTTAACGTGTTAAAAACTGGTAAAGCAGTTCTGTGTATCACGCGAGTAACTGAGAGATTTAGAAAAAGAGAGATTGAGAGGAAAGGAAAGCAGCATAAGAAAAGAACCCACAAGACACATATTCCAGACTGGTGCATGTTACCATGACAGAGAGAAAAAAAACCCAACACAGTACCTGATAGAGTAAGCTATATCTTTTTAGAGTGAGACGTAGAGACATGTCAATGTTATTACTGTACCTCCACTAATAATTGTTATTTATTACATTTTACATTCAGTAATATTTTAGACGAACACACCACACACCGCCACCCCATTTCATCACTACCACACAAAAACAAAAACACCGGATTATGCAATAATAATAGTCACCATGAGCAACACACGTACTAACACACAGTACGAAAGCAACTAACATTAGAATTAATTCGAATCTGCACATACTAAAGACTCTATATATCATATCTTCATTCCATAGAACATTTACCGCGCATCTCCTCATAGCAGAGAGAGACAGAGAGAGAGAAAGAGAGAGAGAAGTCCCCGTTAGTAGTCTAAATATATCGGAGGCGTTCTCGAAAGTATTTTTCTTACATTTTTTTTTCTTTTCGCATTTTCACCCCGTGAAAGTGGGAAGTACTATCCCAGCCGCTATTATATTACAGATATACTTCATATTTAATGGAAATATTCTGTTATAACTGTGCACCACACATGATCTTTACTTATTCTGTTGACACTAGACATTGCAAATTATTAACAATAGTTCTACATAGTTTACAGTTTTTCCCCTCAGACAGTTCTATCCAGATAGAAAGTTTTATTTACACATGATGCATGGAACTTGTTATATGTATTATAAATATAATTATGAGAATCTCTCGCAGATCGCATACAAATATATATTGAATTTATTATATTCTTATTATTCTCCTTCGCGGGAGCGAACGAGCCCGTCGCGAAGAATGTGTTGCGCACTCGATGTCTGGTTTATGATTTTATTTAATTAATCTGCTAAAAAAAAATAAATAGTACGCATTGTATCGCAGCCAGTGGCGTTGTCCCGAATGAGAAAGCAATCAGTCGTGCTCGTCGACGCGACGTGTATTTCTTCACGAGATGTTAACGATATCGGCTGTGGCACGATGATGTTAATTAATCTGTTTTGCGTTTGTGTTATCGTATAATAACGTAACCTGTTATATTTTATATTATTTCCATATTTGTTGAAGGTGTATACATTTCTCCCGTATGCTTTCTCACTTTTGCATTTATTGACGACATATTTTAGAGAATTACTCTCGGCATTGACGGTGTGAAACCAAACCGGTGTGTCGTGAGGAGAAGAATTAGGAAACCTCGATCGTTCCTCGGTGAGAGAAACGTCAAGAGATTATGGTCAAACGTGGGATGATGCTCCTTGATGATTGTTGAAAATACGCGGCGGTGCGATAAGAAGTCATAATAGGCAGGTCCGGACTTGATTCTTAGCTGAGGCAATATTACTCTTAATAATAGTGGGATCTGGAATAGAATTGGTGAGTATAATTATTAATGCAGAAGTCGGGAACTAGTTCAATTAAATTTACAATTGGATAGTCCAGATAAATCACTCGAAAAGGACGCAAGATTTTTGGAACATGAAATTTATCTTTTCGCGATTATAAAAAGATATTAACACCCGTACCATAATCCAATTTTGATGCATAACTACTAGATCACTACTAGAAACAATCATTACGTATCCCGTGGTTTTATCACATTTATGGTGGTCTGACAGCGACAACGTTTGATCCTTTCTTTATAGCTGGCCACACATAAGACTAAATTTTTCTCGGTCTCGTGGAATTGGCACATTCATTCCAACCCTTTTGTATTCTTTGAAGGAAATTAAGATCAATAACAACACTCAAGACTAAAGTTCTTTCCACTTTGTATCAGATCCTTTTCAATGTGTCTGATAGAACAATGCTTTATAACTTCACTGGCAAATTTCTGCATTATTTGGACGATTAATTGAGAACTTTGTATGTGCGTATCAACACCCACGTTAGACTATTGTCGTCTCGCGTCTCTTGCAGATTTCGATCTCACGGACGATCGCATACACGTTTGTATTTTTGATCGATCGATCGCGCGATTAATATTACACAGCGGAAATTCGAGAAGCTACGCTTTCACATTATTATATAATATTCTACATTTCGAAAATAAAACAAAAAGTATATGTACATATATAAATATATATATCTACAGCGTGCGTGATGAAGAATGACTTTTTAAAGAAGCTATCGATTATATCAAAAACAGATCATCAAAAGAGATTAATTTCGAAGAGAGAAAGAGAGAGAGATATACGTCGAATGAAAATATAAGCCAGAGGAAAAGTATATGTAATAAACGCTAAACGCTTTTTTAGCTATTTCACTCGTTCTTTTCTTGTTTCACACACGCTTAGATGATAATCAGTCAGGCAGAGTTGTACGAGTATTTTTCCAGAAATGAGTTTTACATACGCTTATCACAAAACTATTCTCATACGTTTTCGTTCTTTTCTTTCTTACGTCTCTTACATAGCATAATGTGCGTAATCACTACACTACTCTTCCCATAACCGTAACACTACGTGTATCCGATTGTATACAATTCCGCAGACACTTTTGATTCCATATATCGCGCTGCATCGTCAATATTAACGAAAAAAAAATACCACCCTGCGGAGAAAGAAGAGTAGTAGTCGCAGCGGCGTAGAAACGCCCCAAGCCACTCAGCAATCAATAATTTATAATCGAACACAATCAACATTTCGTACTGCATTTACATACCATGTAACGTTCTCGAATAATTTCATGGATGTGATAAGTTTTAGGTGTGAACTGACTATAGAGTCGCCGTGCCGAGAGAGATAAACAGAGCATCAATTGTACGGGGTTACCCTCTGGAGGTGTCGAGAACTATTGTCACCGCGAGGCTGTTTATGAACAAACGGAGACGAGTTTTCTTTTCTCGCATTTTGATTAGTACATCGAGCTTCTTCTTCGTATCACTGCCAAAATATCGTTAAATCCAACTTTGTAACAGGTAGTATCAGCAAAGCTCCGTCATTATTTTTCTACTTTTGTACTGCTGTTAGTTGAATTACCATTTTAAATAAAAAAAAATCGCTATTGAGACTGAGAAACAGCGGCTCGTCGTGACGCCTCAAGCGGGACATTCCGTACACGTGTGTAAGATCCATTAACATAACATTACCTTAGTACGTACAAAAGCAATAAGCATCGTCATGTATATTATGCGTCGAAAGTGTAACACGATATCATAGATGTAATGATACCTTATATCATTTCTCATCATCGATATTTTGTATATTCATCAGATCGCTGTTTACATTGTAATTAATTTTCCGGAGCAAATCAGTACGATCGTTATCGTGATAACACAGAGCCGATCATCTTCGTTCACTTCTTAACACTCACTACTTTATTAATTTAGGAATATCGACAATGCGGCAGCCAAAGAGAGAAACATCTTATCGTCATTCGAATTATCGCGTTTTCATGAATGAAGCTGATATTAAGCGCCATTCGGCTAGTTTCTCTATTATGCATACACACATTCTTTTTACGCGAAGTACGATATAACAGCGGAACCGTCTAACTTGCGCGAGTGACTCGTGCTCGGTTAAACGGCTCTGATGTAATAAATATACATCTACACACATACACGTCCGACGAGAGAACTGTTTTGTCGAGCATGCAGTAGCGAGTATTAATTGTATCGTACGGCGGCTCTAGTCGAACGAATATACCTCCGTAATCGTCGCTCCTCGCGGAGTGATTTACATTACTTAATTTTAACTTAATCTCGGTACCTATTAGGCTATTATTTTTACAATTTTATTACGCAGTTTACCTCACGCAGAATATGTTGTCACATGCCCAGTGAGTGTATGTATACATATATATACATAAATATGTACATACATATGTATGTATATATGTATATATCACGCCCAAGACATTACACTTTATTTTACATATAATATATACAGAAGAAGAGAATTCGGTAATTCTATTCATTTGTATTATTATCGTTAATTATAATAATTATTACGTATTAAGAGAAAACTTTATTAACTTATTTTCCGCAAACCCTCATCTCTCATCCTTCTTCTTTTTTGACGACATTTAGATTGATTATTCTATATATTGCGACGATTATATATATTGACGTTTTTAGGGTGGTTACTTGTATATACCTTTATCTACGATTGTGTATATATATATATATATATATATATATATATATATATATATACACATATATACACATACATACATATTATATTATATGCGAAAAAAAAACAAATATTAAAAAGTATATATTTTAATATATTACGTATAATGATCTACATAAAATTATAATCTTATTGTTTAAAGTATTAAAACTAAAAAAAATGATACACGAAATATTTAATAATATTGTTGACCCTTCTTGAACACATGTCGTCTTGTTGTAATCGATGATTGAATAAAATTAAGACAATGTACAAACGAATACAGGTTTGTGTTCATCACAAAGAGCAATCCTTTCCGCGGCGAATTTTACTTGTTGCAGGATTGTAACGAGTGAATATAGTTCTTTCAATAAATGGAGCAACTTTATTTTATCAAAGAATCTATAAACCCCGACATTGACATAACAGTGGAATCGAAAGTGTATAATACTATAGTATTGTAAACTAATATCTTCATATGGCATTCAATGCCGTATACAGGCGTGTAACAATTTTTTTTCTTATCTTTTTCTAATATATTAAATGTGTGCATACGATGCACAGTTCATGTGTAGACCTACCTACCGGTTTGATCATTTTCATATCGATGAGGAATAATAATCTTGTAACATAATATCTCTCGTAGGCCCATTTCTAACAGTGTTTGTACTTGGTTTAATACAATCCTTTTCTTACAGATCCTACATACTCGCGTTATCGTAAAGTTATAGCAACAGTATTATTTTCCCTATTGGAATAGAAAGATTTCTCAACTTGACTCACAGCTCGTGGAAGATACATGTTGGAATGCAGTGGGTGAATAGAGGAGGTGATCCCTTCTATATGTATGTATATAATAGGTGTACACGGGTCTTCAACAACTTCATTAGTACAGTCCACAGTCTTGACAAGATTATATATAAAAAGCGTCTTTTTTTGGCTAAACAAGTAATCATCTTAAAACATTCGTCCAAATCGATTTATACATCTTATAGTTTATATAGGTGACTTTGATATAATTTATCTTCGTGCATATAGACTTCAACGTTATTCCGAATCGTTCTCAAACGTCAATGTCTGACTAGCAACCATCAAGGTGCATAACAGTTCCGTTACTTTAGGAACTACGATAAAATTAAGTACATTAATTGCTATTTTATCACATTGGCAATAGGCCCGTCTATGAAATCTTCGTATTCCATTACAATATACATACGCTTCCCTATATGTGTATATATAAACTCATTCAGCATTGATTATCGGCGTGTAAAACACCGAGTAAAGATGTATAACATATAATAGAGTATATATATAACTTATACAGATCCCTAGGCACAAGGTGAAACACTTCCATATATACACACATATGTATCTATATATGTATGTATATGCATCTTTTATACAAAATCGTCGAAAGCTTCTTGATATTCGAATACGGCAGTCGGTGTATTGCTAAAATTCACAGAACCAAGGAATGTGGAAAGATTTTCATGTTTACATAATCGTTAAGTACCTGCAAAATCGAACGTGCTTGTTATCGTGATGTTTATCCGCTTACTTCTACTTTCCTGATTCTGATTTTAGAGTAAACAGCTACTTACCTCTATGAGAGCATCTTTTGTCAGTTTAGGATATTGGTATGTAAATCCCGTGGTGTTGGTCAGCTTGCCAGGCTTTAAGTACAAGTGTTTATTGTACAGAAGTTCTTGATCTATGTATGGGGACAGTGGACTATTCACTACTCCGTCTTTGTTACAAGCTTCAGCCCAAGGGCCCATGTGTTTATCGTTCACCTCTTCGACAACGTGGTTCATGTCAGTCTGCGAAGCATATGATGATAAATTATATTTTCTGAGAGTATGATAATTTACTAATACATACATATATAGCATCATAAAACATATTACTGTTAACAGTAATAAAATTAATACACACAAGTACACATAACATACTAAGAATAATAATACAAAATCCTTATCATACTTTAAATGCAGCAATTGTAGACAGCGTAGTACCCCAATAATCATGATTGATGTTAAACAATTCTGAGACTATGGCACTGATGGAACCTTGAGTGGAGTCTCCCTCGTCGACGAGATTATATGTTTGGCCCATTGTTTCTGGTCGGTTCGCTACGTGCCAGATAGCTCTAGCGACATCTCTCACGTGGACTGTATTCATATGAAGATCTGGTCCCCAGAGCAGCTTCATCATTTCACCCAGATGTTTATAAACCCCACCGACTACTAATCGCGGTGCTGTAAATGATAAAATTTTGATAAAAGTTATCATTCTCATTAACTTAATAGAAAGAAATTATAAAGTCGTAGTTACAAAATAAACAGTAAGGAATATCATATAACCTTACCTAAACCATTTCTGTCGCCACAGCCATATACAATGGCTGGTCTGAGTATAGTATACTTCAGATCTGGAATGTTCTTCAACTCATGTTCCACTTGTAACTTGTACTTTGCAACAAATGTCCATGGTTCTCCAATATCCTCTTCGTTATGAGGGATCTATATAAAAATGTAACAATATTGTAACATATATTACAACAAAAGATACTAGTAAGTAGAACTTACCTTTTCAGAAGCATTAACATGGCCAGATGATATCTCGACATAATGAGTGACTTTAATTTTGGCTGCTTGTTGGGCACAGTTTAGGCTCAATTTGTAGATACCTTCTTTGTATACCGGATCTGTGAGGCCACTTTTTGTCTCACCAGCACAATTGAACACATAATCAATAGGCTCATCAGAGGAAAATGCATTTTGACAAGATGCTATGATAAACAAAAATATCACCTTTTCATTTGTCACATATTATTTGCATGCATATGTTTATATTGTTATTATCATATTATTAGCATTGTACATACATTACTCATTATAGTAGATAGCACTTTATACAACGATTACCTATATTAATTAAGTTAGCACTTTGGAACTCGAGCGATGGGTGCTCGAAGATCTGTTGGTGTTTCGCGTTGAGCCACGCAGTCTGCGGCGGCACCTTGTCCACGACTCTCACGTACGACACCAGGTCGTTGTTCAGCAGGTACTCCACAAGATTACGGCCGATGAAGCCACATCCTGCACGAGAACGATAAGCGCGCTTTCAGTAACGTACGTCATCGTCTTCTCTTATCGCTCTTCCGCCGTTCTAGCTTCGTCGCAGCGTGATATACAACAACAAGAGAGAATAATTACCTCCCAAAACGATTACTCTAGCTTTCTTATCGTTGGTGGGCGTTGCCATGATCGCTGCTTGTCATTTAATCGTACCGCTACTCGTTCTATCGCCGGGCTCCGGTATCTTTGACCGCCGTGAAATCGTCCAACCGCAACTGTTTATGGCACTTGACGCACCGTGCTCTCGCCGGACTCGCCGCTGTGTAATTAACCTAAAATTTTCTAGCAACCTGATAGCAGAAAGAAGCATGAGAGCGGCCACGAGCTTGATTTCAACAGCCAGAGCTAGGCTCATTTTCGAGACGCCATCTAACAAAGTGCGCCTTTACTACGTTCGTTAAGTCAGAGAGAAACCTGAGAGCGGCTACGCTATATGAGTGCGTTCCCACTTAGCACGTCACACGTCGCGTCGTCCGAGTTAAGCCAATCAAATTGTCTCATTTTATTGCGTAACTTTACACCGAAAAAATGGAATGATTTGATTGGCTTAACTTGGGCGACGCGACACGTGACGCACTAAGTGGGAACTCAGCCATATGTTTTGGCCGACACCGATTTTCACGTAGAGTCGCTATACATAGGCCCATATTCTGAATCCTTTTTTATCGATAAAAGTGCCTTAAATGTAGCTTCTCAGCCAATCAGGTGGCTCCTAAGCCTTTTTTGGACGCGGTGTGAATTCTGGCCCGGTTGCACCAACGTTATTTTGGTTTAGTAGCATGTTCGACTGGCTCTGGGTTAACCCATTCTGGGTTATTCAGTCTACGTTTATTAGTCGAACAAGTATTTATAAGCTTTATGATTGGCTAGTAGAGACTTATGACGTCATTAATCGCTCTCGGAGCGATTAACCCAGGGCCAGTTCAACACGCTATAAGTGACACTTAAATATATGTCTATCTTTATTTATATAGAAAGAAAGATAAAGATAGATATATGTTTAAGTTTCGCTTAAAGCCAAAATAATGTTGGTGCAACTAGGCCTTATGGCTCCTGCACATAGGACGCGGTAATGCTTGCCACGCGGCGGAAGTCCGCGCGACAGCCAATCAATATGTTGTTTTTCCGTAAGAGCTAGAAGGTTATTACGGAAAGCATATTGATTGACGTCCTGTGTGCAGAAGTCATTAGTCCCGATCTACAATAGATGTAGTAAGCTTTAAGCCGTAAAAAATTAACCAATCACAATTGATTATTCCTCTATAATTCCACAGTGATTGGTCAATTTCTTAAGGCTTAAAGCATACTACACCTATTGTAGATCGGGATTAATGGTTCCTGCACACAGAACGCGGCAACGCTTGCTGCGCGGCGGAAGTTCGTGCGACAGCCAATCAATATGCTGCTTCCCGTAATAATCTTGTAGCTCTCACAAAAACAACATATTGATTGGCTGTCGCGCGGACTTCCGCCGCGCGGCAAGCATTACCGCGTTCTGTGTGCAGGAGCCATTAGTTGGTATTGCTATCTACTAATTCCGTTTCTTCTCGATTTTGCAGTGCTTGATCCTTTTTCCGGTCTGGCAAAATGGTAAGACGGGCGGCAATGCTCAATTTAGTTGAGAAATCGATTAATATCATCCAGCCATTTATTAATCGAGATGAATGCATCTGTTCATCGAATATTTCATCGTGCTGTTTTAATTACTGATAAATATTTCGTCCACAGGGTATCGATATTAACCATAAACATGACAGGAAGGTTCGGCGAACGGAGCCCAAGTCTCAGGACGTATATTTACGCCTTTTGGTTAAAGTAAATATGTTACTTATATTATTTTTCTACTGAAATACATAACTTTAAATTGATAACTAAACCATCAAATTTGAACATATGTTGTACTTCTTTGATCTCGTGCAAATTTCACCTGAAATAACGCATCCATTACTTGGCACTATAAGCCTCTATCGAGGTTAGAATCCACGTGTGATTACACGTGACACGAAAACTTTGTATTTAATATTTTAATTTTTTAGTGTTTAGTAAATTTTGAATGAATCAGTTTGGGTAATTCTAGCTTGCAAGAAAGTATTAAATAATTTTGATTATAAGAAAAGTCTTTTTTTGTACATTATTTCTGTATTCATGGCATAATGTGTTATTAAATTATTGACTTTTAATGTAGATCAAAGAAATAATCATATGATTGCGAACTGCACTCTGTGTCAGGTCTTGCATAGACTGATCCAATTTGAATGTTCGCTAGAGTAACAGTCGACTATCCTATTCAGCCTGTTTTGCTTTTTATACAAAAGGGTAATTATATTAGTCGACACATCTTCAACTTAATTCTTTCCTTATTTCAACGGAATTCCAAACTACTGTGATTGGAAGACATTTTACATAAACAGAAATTTGAGAATCTTCAGTCTTCTGTATATAGTAGCATAGTTGATAACAGCAGACCTTTATTTAAGTTGTATAGATTCTTGGCCAGAAGGACGAATTCTAAGTTCAACAAAATCATCTTGAAACGTCTCTTCATGAGCAAGATCAATAAGCCACCAATCTCTCTTGCACGTATCGCAAGATTCATGAATAAACCACATCGTGAGAATTGTATTGCAGTAGTTGTCGGCACTATCACAGATGACGCCAGGATCTTTGAGATTCCAAAACTAACGGTAATATACATTAGTGATTACTGCAACTATAAATACATATTATATTTTGTACATTTGAACTTACAAGTAATAGTTTCTATTATATATTGTGCGATAAAGATTATCTTTTGCAAAAGCAATGTGATATATATTGGTTGATATATGATAATATATGTAATTGTGTCATAATTTTCATATTTATTAACAATTAATTATATCATGTATGACTAATATTATATCATATATTCTCTATATAATTAATCATTAATCTTGATTTATTATATTTAGTTCTCAGATATATAAAATATTATTTTTGTTACCATGTCAATATGTGCAATGAATTGACTTCGTACGTGGAATGCAGGTGTGTGCATTGCGTGTGACCGAGAAAGCCAGGGGTCACATCCTGAAGGCTGGTGGTGAACTGATAACATTCGACCAGCTCGCGTTACGCGCTCCAACCGGCAAGCGCACAGTATTGCTGCAGGGACCACGTAAAGCACGCGAGGCGCAGAAACACTTCGGACCAGCGCCTGGTGTGCCGCATTCGCACACGAAGCCATTGGTTCAGTCGAAGGGTCGTAAATTCGAGCGGGCGAGAGGCCGCAGGCGTAGCTGTGGTTACAAGAAATAAGGTCTATTATTTGTTTTACCATTCAACTCGTCATTTAAATGAATATCCTATAACGGACATTCTCTCCGTTGCAGTTTTTTTCACATAATCGAGTGGCTGGGAAATAAATGTTGGCTTAATAACAATTCTTCGTTCTGTTTCTCCTTTACGACTCTCGGTTAAGGCTCCAGTCCACTTCCTGCTTCCATAATCATTGGCTTACCCAATTATCTTTTTCTCAATGAAGAAGTAATCATAACCGTATCTTTCTTTTTTTTCAATGTAAGGAAGCAATGGGCGAACCCTCTGTTTTGTGAGTGAAATATTTATTTAGTCAAAATCAAATTCAGATTTTGTAATAACAATTCTCGCTTGCGATTCGCGTATAAAATATATTACAACATGTATACAAGGAAAGTCCCTACGTACTTAGGGTAGGCCTTAAGCCTAGCTCGATGTTTGCGCGCGCGCGCATATATATATATTTATTAACTATATATATATATATATATATATAGATGTGTACTTCTGTTTCTTTTTTTACATATCACGCGTAATACATTAAGCTTCAGAGGTGTGTGGCGTGTATAAATTGTATATTATACAATTTGTAATCTGTATATTACACAATTTGTACGTGTATATGTATATTACACATATAATATGTATATTATACAATTTGTACGTTGTGACAATGAACATTGATACGTGATCGTTATCCGGACATGTCGAGTCGACCATTGAAGCAGTCTCCCGTGATTCTCGCGATTTTATTTATTTACAACAGGCTAATAGGTAGAGAGCGCGCGATGAGCGAGAGACCTTGAGAATACCTTTACGTATTCTATTTTTTTCAGTGAAACCTTCGAATTTCAACTCGTCGGTATAAAAAAAAATTTTTTCGCGATAATGTATTGGCACAAACGACCGATATTTTAACACGCGCGATATATGGAATTCTCTGCGGGTTCATTATATCTCCGATGTATGTACATGGTTCAAAGCAAATATATGCATATATAAGAATCACCGGTGTCGCGTTAAAATTCCCGAAATCCATAATAATACGGTAGGATTACGGCTCTAATTAAATCTCTGATCAACGATCAAATCAACGATTACACTTTGTAACTTCAATGAAAATATATCAAAATCTTAAGAATACCGTATTGCTACATTTATCTGTTATTGTGGCCTATTGTAATCTTAATTCTAAACTTACCATCGCAACGTCAATCCTGTTTTATCCGTAAAAAGATTACAAACGAGTGGAAGAGGAACGTTAATCAGCGCGTCCCTCAACGAAAGTTATACATATGTATCATGCACTTCCTTAAATCGAACGTAATCGTACAGCTAATAAATTCCTCGGCAAAAACACGTGGAAACAGTCGTGAAAACGCGTTGACAATTGTCATTTACAAGTAGCAAAATACATTGTGCCAGTATTGTTTTCATTGATGTCCCAAGAACACGATCCATAACAGATTTACATATAACCTGACCTCGCTTCTAATCAGTTTTATTCTCCAAGAGCGGGACACTCGGATACTTGGGGAAGTCTACGGCGGCTATGCGATTTTTCACCTTAAAACTAGGAAACAGTCCTGTCATGCTGGTTCTGCTGTTGTACCCTTTCGAAAAACCGTCCCAATGATTACCGTATACGTCGATTAAATCGCCGATCTTCAGCTCAAGCTCGCCGTTCTTCCGCGGCTTGTGATCCATGATGGCCACATGTGGATGTGGATTCTGTCCGCCATAGTAATATATGTCATCGAGAGACGTGAATTTGTTGTACGCGTCCGTGTAAAAAGTCTGCATCAGTTCGTATGCGACGCGACACACCTGCGAACTGAACGTGCATACCAGATAATCGCACTCTGACAGCAGATGGATATCCATAATTATTCCCTGCAGCGAAGTATCGGAATATCGCTTCGCTACGGATGCGGTCTCGGCGATCTCCGGATCGCCTATTATCTCATAATTTGGATAATTCTTCCTGGCCGTCGTGATCACCTTTGGGTCGTCACTAGCTAAGAAGACTCTCCTCACATCTGGCTTGGTCTCGAGCTCATCGAAATATTGATCCACCTTGGTCATGTATTCGTCTATGTCATGATAAGCTGCTTCGGTGCCCACCTTATCAGTTCTGCGTACGTGTATACCGACGATGGGCTTCTTGAAGCCGAGTCTCTCCTTTGCTTCATCCAGCGTCTTCTTCACGTGATCCTGAGGTCGCATCAGATATTTCAATACTTGTCCCACCCACCAGACGAGTGGGTGACCGTGAATTTTCTCTAATCTTGTTGCTAGATCCGCGGGTACACTAGGCGCCTGGTACTTTGGTTTAGGATAGACGTTGTCTACAATCGGCAAGGATATCACTTGCTTGGTAGGGTCACCAGGCCAATTGGAATGCGAAATGCCGCTTGTAGATACGCAAGTGTCGCTGAGCGGCTTGAACACGGATTCCCAACCATCTTTGTGGTATCTCCAACCTTTTGATTTTATTATTAATGTCCTCTCTGTACCGTAAGCTACCATGAAACAGTATGTGATGTGATGAAGCTGCAAAGAAGCATAATATTAGTTTATTTAAAAAATAATTTGAAGACTGTTACATAGTTATTATACTTACAATAACTATATATCACATTTTCTGTATTATACAATTATTATATTGTGTGAATTACAGTTATTATATAGCTAAATTTTTCTCACCTGACAGCCAAATCCACATCCTTTGTTTAAACTACACACCAGCTTTCTCGCTTTGTTACAATCGGCGGGGTTTTGCAGATATCTTAAAAGAAAATACAAAACGCGTTTAAAAAATTAACTTTATAAGAGTTTGAATATTTAACGATAAAATGCATATTACCTAAATCTTCTCTGAACAAGATCAGACAAGTCTTTTGCCTCTTTCTCTCGCCATTCATTATAACCGTCTGCTTTCGTCATCCTGTCGACACTCATTATGAGTGATTTTTTATGTTCCCATACGTTTTTCAATACATCCTGTATCTCCTTCTCTTTTTCCTTTTGATCGTGCGTGAAATCGTCAATGTTCTTCTTAAATTTATTCAGTTCGGCTGCTATGTAATACCTGCAGTACAGAACTGAACACGTGATCTATTGCATCGCGACCAAGCAAAGCTTTGGTCATTCGTTCTTGTACACACCACATCTCCTGAATATCATTTCTCACTCGTCGTTGCAATTCTTCGTATTCTAAAGAAGGTACTCCATGTTTTGGTCTATCTACCTGCTCCGCTAGGTCATAGTAAGCTGATGCTTTCTCCAGTCTGTCCTGTATGGACCCCAGGTGATCGCCCTGCATAGCTTTCGAGCCTTCTCTGGAAATTACGTTAGTCTGTACAACGAAAAGGTCGTGACACTCTGTGTCTTGAGCTACGAATTTTGAATTATTATCTGAATTATCTAATAAAAATGTTTTTAGTAAAATTATATTTTTCAGAAAACGACTTACTGAATCTTTCTAACAAAATATGCTCTTAACAATGTGAAAAAAATATATGTTACTGACAAAGTTAGAGAACAACTTTATTTACCATGATTAAATTGCTAATAGCAATTAGCTTAACTTATTATCAGCAAAAATAATATTCTCAAATATTTTTGCAACAAAGTTGGAAAACTTTAATCAGTTAATGACACTGTTATTAACAAATAAATAAATAAATAAATAAATATATATATATAAATTTGATAATTTTTACAATATAGTCAGGATAACCTATATTTTTCAGTAATATTGCTAAAAACACATGTTATTGCTGATATAAACTTCATTTTTGTTTTAGTACACATAAACTTACCCCAATATGAAGGTCTTCAGAGCATCATTCTGCTTCTTTAGAATCTCGAAATCATTGACCATCTTGGCTAGGCGTTGTGTGTTTACTTTGTTGGCAGTATTAGCATCTTGGCTGGATGAGATGTTTGACTTAAATATGTGGGAAATGGATACAATTAGTGCTATCAGCCATGTGGCCAGCAATGCTATCACAATCTTTCCCAACCAACCAAGTCGTCCTGACCAAATAGCTGCCATTTTCACTAAAGCAGATAGTACTCTAATTTGTGATGTGTCACATTACGCCACCTGAAAATTCAATTGTGAGAAAAACAAACAGTTCTCATTCTTATGCATATTCTTAAATACTTCTTAAACTAAGCTGAACTTGTGTATGTTTTCCAATGTCACGTATAAAGGTTAAACTTATCGAATCTACACATAGCGATAATGAGCGATGTGACTGTCAACCGGGATGTAACGATGCAGAAATATGATTCTCAAGACGCCTAAAGTGCGAAAATTATTCTTATCGGAGAAAATGGTTCTGCGCAGTGTCGTGCTGGGATTGTCAACGTGTCGATTATTAGGTAATAAAAAAATAAACGTCGAGATACGTGCGGAGCCAGGTTGACATTCTGTACGATGCAACAAAATATGTAGTAACGTTAATTGCTTCCGCCTCTGGGTTCGCGTGACCGTATCGCGATTTCTCTAACCTGCACACCGCACTATACGTTCTCGGGCTCAAAGGCCGGCGTGCGTAAGCACTCGCACGTTACACGCGTGCGAGGCACATCGACGGGGATATATCAGCGTGACCGATCTGTGATAGTCGCGGCGCCTGTAACCGTGACGGAAACGGTTACGGAAACGGGCCCCGTCGTCGCTTCCGCGAACGAAGACTTCGTGAAGATCAAGACTGGTGTAATCTCTCTGTAACTCCGCGATGACAGTTCAAATTCCGACGTCAGATTCGTGAGAAAGTACCTCCATCGTGAGAGCAATCATGTTGCACTTAAAGTTCTTAAGGACGATAATCGCATGCCTATGTCATGCAATTTTGAACCCAATGGTTTTATCGCCGGTCTCGATATCTCTGATCTCGTCGAGGTCACGTTTGCAGTATCGGCCAATCAGTTTCACAGGACTTACGAAAGACGATGGCAACGGCACGACGGTTATCTGTCATCTGTCTGGCGCTATCGCGCTCTTCACGAGCACTCAATCATCGGAACACAAGATCGAATCGAGACGCACTGTCCGTCGCGGCACTCGTTATTGAGTTGATTGTTCCCATCCCGTTGGCACTCGAGCGACAGGACACAAGTCGAGCGCTAGGCGTAGGAGAACCAACCACTGCGCATTACCAACGCCGGTTATTAATAACGACGTCGGTGAATGCACTAGTCCGCTCCAAGGCACACGCACACACCTCAGAAGCAGAGTTGGAGAGAGCGAGTAAAATCTTGCTCCCCTGGATTTTTTTTGTTTTATCTTTTACAGGTATCCGGTTGTGTCGGAGCGTAGTTCCACTCTTTCACATTCACACATGCTTTCCTTTAAATTGTACAACTTTCAATTCACTTTTTGCGGTTTGAAAAACACTTTTTTTTTATGATGCTTAGTTACATGTTAACCTCTCTTTTTCTTTATCATACTTATTGAGGAGGAGAGAAGGTTAATTGCTTAAAAATAACGATACGAAATGCATCCTATATATATGTATAAATACAGTAAAATAGGTTAAAAACCACTGTGTGGTAAATTTGAAGAAATTTATATGATCTGCTGCTCGATCGTCCTACCTTAGATAGCACAAAATTTTCAGAGAATGTTCTAAGACGTTCTTAGGATGTATAATGTCCTTAGAACGTCTTTTGAAGATTTGTGCTGTATAGGACTGAAAGGTAAAAGCTCCTCTTATCCATAACTGAGTCGTATGTCTTAAAAATAAAAGACTTTTTAATTCTATATTCAATCGTGCTAATTGAAAATAAAAGTTATTTGATATGCCTTTCGGTTGCAGAATTTGAAAATAAAAATATCGTCTCAGTCATCGTTAAGTGTGCATTACGACAAGCGTGGTTCGCCTGATCAATTGTTGACTCGTACTACTTCTCGATAAAAGAGTAGAAGAGAAGATAACAAATCTTTTTCTTCAGCTTTTTCTTGAGTTTGTGAAAACAGAAGATTTTTAAATTTTAAAATATTTGATAATAATCTTTGTTGACAACTTCGCTTGGAGGATTTATTTCATTACCAATGGCTGCGTTCAGCAGAGAACTCGCTCTATCATGAAAAATCTAAAGATCGGCTGCATTCAGAAAAGAAAGCTGCTTTGCAATTGTTGTAAAATTCGTGAATATGATTGGTACATGCTCTTGGATTCAACCAAAACTAAGAGCATGCTCCAATTAGATTCACGAATTTTACAACAGTTGCAAAGCAACTTTCTCTGCTGAACGCAGCCAATCTTTACATTTTTCATGATAGGGCGAGTTTTTTTAATTCATCGATGGATCCATCGCATGATGCGTAAATACAACGAAACGCTTATGATGCATTCAAATATGATGCATTTATGCATCATGCGATAGATCCATCGATGAATTTAAAAACTCTACCTTCATCAATGGATCCATCGATGAATTAAAAAACTCGACCATACTGTTAGATGGAGAATGCTTTTCAGCTACGTACGTGTGTTAAAACTAGTTTATTAGTTGCATGTTATCTTAAAAAATATTTTAGATAATATGTAACCAATAAACTGGTACGTAGCTGAAAAGCATCCAGTCAAGCAGTTGGTTGGCAGTCGCGTTTTAGCGGGTCTCTCATCTACAATAGATATAAGCCTAGGTCGTTAGAATTAGCCAATCACAGTCATTTATTAAGGACGTTCTACATTAGTTGCAAGCCGATCGCAAGCAGACGCAATTCTTATTGCAACAGCCAATCAGAAGCATCAATTGTGCTATTGACGCTTCTGATTGACTTTCGCAACAAGAGTTGCAATCGACTTGTAACTAATGTAACGACTTTTATAGAAATAATCAGCTACGATTGGCCAATTCCTACGGCTTACGACATCTATTATAAACCAGGCCTAACAATCCGATATTATAGTTTTAAAGTCCTCCGCTACGAAGCGCTAGTATTTCATCACAGATTGACGTCGCAGTATGATTCAATGACAGGTTGGACAAATCTTCCTTTTTCAAATAAAACGGCTGAACGACAGGTGAAAGACCTTGATTTTCAAGCAATATGAATTAATAGCAGCTTAAAAGTATCTTTGGATCACGAATTAAAGATTGCAACTCAATCAATTGAAACAAAGCACGTCGAACTTGAAATAACTTGTTTGGTCGTATTCCATTTCGGGATTGAGCTACCGTATTAGAATTTGGAAAAGAGAATAAAACGCAGAGACTACGAAACGATTTGGAAGGTGCAGCGATAAATAGCAGAAATTTTAGGTGCAAAAAGTGTAAGTAACACGACACATCTATTATTTTCCAATCTACGATATGAATTTCTGTTTGACGGCAGGTGGCGCGTAGTTTCACCGCTCGCTTCAGCATGAAAATTGAATTTTTACAACGGTTGCGAAGCGTACGTAGAAACGGGACGGCCAGTCGGCGTAATTGTAGACGAAACTTCGTGGTGAATTCTTTAGGAGATGTAGAAATCGGTAAGAAATGCGCGCATGTACGAGCACGCGTTATAACATGTCACAAAGTCGTCCATCCCCATCCACCCCGCCGGTCTGTGTCCCCTCCTATTCGCGCTCTTCTCTCCTTCCTTCCAAGTCTTCTTCCCTCCCACTCTCTTTCGCTCTCTCTCTTTCTTGTTCATCACGAAAATCGCGCACGCAGCATCCTCGCGCGCGCGAAACGCGCGTACGCCGGTGGACGCACACGGTGTGTCTGTGGCATCGCGTGGCTGTACATACCTGTGAATAGTGTATTTTAAGCCTTAGTTTTAACGAAATGACCGGCTGAGGAGAAGACGCAAGAGCTGTACTCCGTGAGACGGAGAATAACGTGAGATTCGAGGTGACGATAGAAGAAAGGGCGAGACAGAGAGGAGAGGTGAGGCAGAGGGCAAGAAAGGTAGAGAGAAAGAAAGAGAGAGAGAGAGACGAATACATTTGTCGAGATATTTATTGACGATTCGCGTGCCTCCATTCGCGTCCGGGAACAAGGTAAAACAGAAGGGATCACAAAGAATCCTATTTGTTCTGTCGCATAAGTCAAACGAGGAATTAAATATCCATGACTTTCGTCCATTTTCCGTCCTCTTTTCTCCCTCTCTCTCTCTCTCTCTCGCGTCCGTTCGTCAGTCTTCTCATTCACTCTTTCTTTCTTTCCCTCTCCCTCTTTCTTGCACTCCATTGCTTGCTATCGTTGTCTCACTCTCTTCTCGCAATCCCTCTCTTTTTCCCACTTCCCCTCACAGCCGACGTGCATGCACTCGTCGTTTCTCGCTTGTTTCATCTTTCTTTCCTTCCTCGTCTTTTTCTCGAGCGTAACCCAGCGTATCCGCGGCGGTGTAGTCGATCGGTCGGTCAATCGGTACGCGTTCGTTGGTTCGCGCGTCGCGTCTGTGCTACGACATCATCGTTTCGGCCGGGATCTCGCCCTCAAACGAGCGAGCGAGAGCGAGTGAGTGTGTGTGCGATCCTGCGGTCATCGTGCGCGCTCGCCGCTCACGACGGTTTCCTTTGTGTTCTCTCACTCTTTCTCTGTCTCGCCTCTTTCTCTCTCTCTAGCTCTCCTCTCCCTTTCTCGCTTCCCTTCGTGTCCGGCAGCGAGCACACAGTGTTGTCAAAAATCCGGCAGCAGCGCGCCGGAGCCGCACACAGCTGCCATTGCTGTACCTGTCTGATTCTCGCTCGCAGCTCGGTAAATACGCCCGAGTGCTCTCGGTGATATCCGTGTGACGTTTGCCGTTATTGCCGTCGCTGTCGCCGTCGTCGTCGCCCTCGCCGTCGCCGTCACCGTCACCGTCACCGTCACCGCAGTCGTCGTCCTCGTCATCGTCCCCGTCATCGCCATCAACGTCGTTGTCGCTGTCGTCGTCGTCGTCGTATATTCATCGTAACCGCCGTCGCCGTTGTGCGATTGTCGTCGTCGTCTTCGTCCCCGTCTTCATCGTCGTCGTGGAAACGTTGAGGATGTGCCGCCGTTAACGGCAGCGCGCGTACGGAACATGTTCGCGCAACGGCCGTAGCGAGAAGTTTCCTCCTCGGCAGCTAGACGCCGCCGGCTTCGACAGCTAAACCGAAAGCTAACCTTTACGAGGTGCGAAGGGTGCCCCAGCAGCGAGCTCTGCCGTCCGTCCGCCGTGTCTGGGACAGCGGCGCGGCTTGACAGCAGCAGCACAAGGACATGAAGTGGCTCGGCGCAAGCAGCGGAGGCGCCGGGGGCGAGCCGGCATCCTCCATGCAGCTGCATCACACTTCTACCTCCGCCAACGGCCACCTACCCACGGTATAGACGCGCGTCTTTTTTTACCCCTTTGTCAATCGCGACTGCATTTTTGCCCGTCATTACCGTTGTCCTGCTATGCGAGCAAGCGTGGCTGTATGGCAATCGCGATCGGTCGCCATAACCTCGACGCCGCGCTCTCACCGAGACGGTGTGGAATGTTCGTGAATATTAGCGTGAGTGTTCGGTGTCGGTGGAGAGTATTTCAGGAGACTATGATCGTCGTTTGATCGACTCGTAAATGCGCACGACGTGACGCGGGTGTAGTGCTCCTTTTCTCGGGAAATAGTGTGATTGTCGGAAGCCAAGTTAAAGAGAGAGAGAGAAAGAATATTGTTCACATGAGTGTCGCGTCATTGATAATTCTGTCGTCGTGTGCGATTTAAAAGTAAAGACTCTTAGTGAAGCTAATTCGCAAAATGCAGTCATGAATGATGGGAGTTTATTAGTCTTCATTTTGGTATCAATCTCATCATTGTGTTATAAGATGTTATGCTGTATACAATGAGATGAAAGCACTTGTGCTAGTTGTAATCTAAGTCTAATGAGATGTGTATTGTTATGTAGGATGCAGAACAGTGTGGACAAGCTATGGCTGGTGGTGATAATATGCGAATTCAAGCTGGTCAAACCCATCAGATGGGTGTAAGCAGAACTCAGGACGATGCAATGGTTGGTTATGTATTCCAACGCCCTACAGAGCCAGAGTTTAACACTCAGTCTTCGTCTTTCCAAGCGAAGCAAGCCCCAAGAGCTTGGGCCTTAGCAGATGATGTTATCGTTGATAATGTATGTGTAATAAGATATGCACAGATTAAATCTTTGGTTTGTTTTCGTTGCGCTATTCAAGTTACAGATTCTTCCTCACAGTCTTCATAGTTTGAATCTGTCTAGTTTATTTCATAGTTGCAGGGATTTTAAGAAAGTGCAGTTAAAACAAGCAGTTAAGATTTTATATATAGTTACATGACAGTAATTGTATTATGTACATATTTGTCATATTTATTGATTTATTTCTATGTAATATATAATTACATAATATAAATACATAATATACAATTACATTATATATACAATTACATATATATTAATATATAATATACATTATTACTATATAATTTACAATAAACAAAAATGTTAGTGCTACAAATACTGAGTGATGAATCATAATTGAAATATTTTCAGAATCAAGAAAAATGGAAATATTCTATGACTAAGCTCAGCGTACCACAACAAAGTCAGTCTCAGCAACTTGGATTGCAAACCATGAATAATGTACATTTACCATATGAAATACATCCCATGCAGATAAAAGTAAGTAATAAAAGTCAAATACTACATTTTTCGGATTATATGTTCTGTATAAAACCGTAAATTTACACTCTATATGGTGAATAATATTCCATATAATCTTCAAATGTCTTATATTTGTTCTTGTAGAGCGGCGCGCCTGGTGCGGAGCACTTGGTTTATTTGAACAATCAAATGACTGCTCAACAGCAAGTGGCGCTCTTTCATCACCAACAGCAGCAGCAGCAACAGCAGCAGCAGCAGCAACAACAATTCAGGAACGGACAGGTAAGTGTATTTATGTAAAATGTTGAGCTTTGTGATTCACGTAGGCAATTAAAGGATCTTCTAAACGAATAGTGTATCTCACAGTTGATGAATAGATGATTCTATTTAAACTGGAGACATACTTTATTTGGTTTGACAAATAGTGAATACTTTCGCATTGTGCTTTAGGCACCAAAAACAAGAGCAAATGTATCAGTCCTTCATGTTAAAAATATTCATATTCCATTGTCATCTGATAAATGTTTTCATCAATCTAAGAGCTGTATTAATAGTCATTACTTGAAACTTGTCTCATGTGAGATACTCAGATTTTTATTTAGAATTAGATCTAAATTTTTCAGTTGAATTATATATATGATATTTCTATCTATAATCGTGATTCAACTAAAAAAACTCATCTAACTTTGAATTAAAATCTGAATATCTTATTTGAGAAGTTTTTAGTGGTAAATTTCAACGAGAAATCGTGTCAAGGTCATAATTCGGTCGTTTAGCTGAATAAATCTTCGTCACTTCTAATGACGACCTTTGTAGTTCGAAAATGTAGTTGTGGTAATACTGGGCATTACAGCAGGTTAAAGGATTCTTGTGCAATCCATTTTGTTCAGAATAATCTTATCAATGAAAGCAATGAGTTATTGATAGAACTTTAATTAAGGATTTAAATGGACATTTATATCCATCAAGGGAATCCCCAATGACTCTTTAAAAATACGGGAAGTGAATATTTTTATCGCCAGAAATCGAGAAACTACACATTTGCCGTAAGGGAAGACTATAAATGGCAACGATTTGAAACACCTATATGCTCACTAATTAATATAATTGCGCGTTGACCTGGAAAACATTTATCCGCAACATTCTCTTTAAGTTGATGATTTATGGCTACTTAAATCTTAGAAAGTGCAGCGCACGACTCGTTATATTTAGTCGCATCGCGATTGCGCTAATTGGCTATGCGACATAGTAATATTAATAGAAGCTTAAACAATCATTCCCGCTAATGACGCATTAATATCGGATTTCATCGAACAGATAACCGTTTCCCCAATCTGAATATATTCATCCCCCCCTTATCGTCCAATGGCGTGGCCGCAGGTAACTACTGACTTTACCCCGTGAATAATAAGTCACCCAACCGTTCCCGATATCGGGCATCTCATATTTTATTTGTCGCGGCTGCATCATATTTTTGTGCTCCGCGTCTATAAAATATAAATCCGCGGCGAGCGACGTCACCATTGAATTATGCCTGAAAAATTTCGCATCGTGCGATGACTTTTACATATCTCCGCCGCAGTAAATCTTCGTGTCAATTTCTTTATTGCGCAGCATCGATTTCGTTTCATTTCACTGAGAGCCAGCGAACGATCTTTTATATTTTACAGCTGCATTGGCAGCGGTCGATATCTCGAAGAAAAATGTCTCCTTAATGGCTTCTAATAATTAAAATAAAAAGTGAAAGAGAAGAAAACGTATTATATATAAAACGGTTAAGAGTATCGAAAATGCTTTCACTTCTAAGGACATTTTTCTTTTTATAATTTGTTACGTTAAAAACTCATTTATAAACGTTATTAAAGTCGATTTTTCAGTCGTAAACTGACATTAGGAAGCATTACGAGATTACATGGTTCTATTAGTAAAGTTGAGAAGAACTCTCAGAATAGAGCCAGAGATCGTCTTTTTATCTTTTTATGAGAATGCGTCCAAATTTTGGGTCAGGAAACATCGGTGTGTATAAAGTAGCTGAAATTTCGATCCAAGGTCTCAGAAAATGACTTGCAAGTGATTAGTTTATTTTTGTGTGATTTTCTCCGGAAAATTCAAGATAAAGGTGAGTTGACGATCGGATAGGATTGTCTAGACGTTCTGTGTGACTCATTTCGTTATTTAGACCAAATATATTCTACTGTTACTCATCGTTTCGTGATTCGGAGCGCAAAGGAAACTTTATCAAAAAATTTTAATTATGATAAGAGAACGAGGAAATGTATTATCAACAATGTACGACTCGCTAGGTTAGGTAGATAAGTCAGAACTCGTTCATAGTTGAAAAACGGCTCGGTAAAACCGTAGTAGCTCTATCTCTCTTTTGTGAGAAAAACCCGATAGTAAAGGCGGGCTTTCGAATTTTCGACGAAAAGCGACAGTGACGGCGTCTCGCGTCTACATGCGTCGTCACGCCGGCAGCTTGGCGAAGGCACCGCTCGCGGCGCCACCCTCGGGAGCGTCGTTCTTTGTTTCGGTTTGAAGCACAGTCTCCGTCGGACGAAGCGCGTAGCCCGGTGTACGACGGAAAATTCGTGGCGTGCGGTAGCGAGAGACGAAAGAGAGAGTGAGAGAGAGAGAGAGAGAAAGGAGGAAGGTCGGAGAAGGGACAGGACGACGGGGAACGAACGAACGAACGAGTAACGCAACGAGACAAGACGAGTTTCGCGAGAGAACCCGCACACGATCGGAGAGCTGCATTCGTGAGAAAGATCCGCCGAGAGTGAGAACGAACGACCACGCGTCCCGCGCGATACGTTTGGATGGACGTGATGGACTGCCTTGCCGCGAGAGCAATTCGAATCGGACCAGACTCGCTCCCTCTGTGTAAATAAAACGCGCGACGGTGGCCGCGCGAGCCAGTAAACCCGGAGTGTACGCGAGAGAGGAGAAAGGAGGAAGAAGTGGTGTTGTGGTAGTAACAGCAGCAGCAGCAGCAGCAGCAGCAGTAGTAGCAACACAGCAGTCGTGGTGGTGGTGGTGGTGGAAGAGGAAAGAAGTAGTAGAGTACAGGGATAGCGTGTCGAATACAGAACGGAGGAGCAGGAGGTGTATCGGAAGTGTCGAGGTGACGAGGTGCGTTTGACAGGCGAGCGCTTTTTCTTTCTCCCTCTCTCTCGGCTTCCTTCCGTTTGTCTCTCCTTTCGCCGCGTCTCTTGCTCTCTTCTTCGTTCGTGGTGGCCCCGCGTGCGTGCGTGCGTGTGTCGTTCACCGATTCACGTGTGTATCGCGCGTGCGTGCGAATATGTGTACGTGTTAGTGTGGTGGCGGCGGCGGCGGCGGCGGTAAGAGAGAAAAAGAGACGTGTATGTGCGTGATACACATGTATACGTATATACGACGAGTGTAGTGGTGACACTAGCTCTCCGGTGTGTCGTGCGCACGTTTGCGCTCGCGCTCGCGCTGCGATTTGCATTGTTTGGCTCGCGGCGGTACAGCGTTATTCGCGCGCGGCTCTCCGCTCTGCTGCACGAGATAGAGAGAAGGTAAGGAGAGAGGAGTGACAGAGAGAGAGAGAGAGAGACAGAGAAAAAGAGAGAGCGAGAGGGAAGCATCGTCGTGCACGAGCAAACTCGCGCGGGGAGGAGAAAAGGGACGAGACGTCGAAAAGTCGAGACGACGACGTTCGGGGGTGGAGCATTGCCGCCGCCAACAACAACGTCCTTGTGTTTGTGCGATTTCGTTGGTTCGTGCGCCCGTCGTCGTCGTCGTCGTCATCGTCGTCGACGATCGCCGCCGCCGCCGCCTTCAGCGCGTCGCGACGGGGGTTGCCGACGCCGCCGCCACCGCCGCCACCGCCGTCGTATCCCCATCGATTGCCGGCCACCGATTCGCCGGGTATAACAGTGCGCGTGTGAGAAGGAAGAGAAGAAAAAAGTGCTGCCGCGTGTCGCCGCTGCTGCCGTCGACGACGACGACGTCGTCTACGTCGTCGTTGTTGCTGCTGCTGTGCCTCAGTTGCACGTACACGCCGTATCACGGGGTTAACGGTCTCTCGTTATCTCTCGGAGGTGAGGAGGCGCCGTGCCGCCGACGCCACGACGACCTTGGAGACGGTGGAGAGTTTCGGAATAGGGTACAGTCAGGGGGCGGGCGCGAGCACAGGCGACTGGATGAAACCACCGGGGGATCTGTTTCTCTACTGCGACATGAAGGACCTGGGCGCCGACATGGTATCGTTGTTTGCTTGTGTTTATTTGCTCCCCCGTGAAATTCACGTCGTCGTTGTCGTCATTAACGCATGACGACGACGACGACGACGACGACGACGACGTTTCGATCGCGGCGCACCAAACCGCGCCCGCGTCTCGACGCGTCGCTACGTGCTGTGGCATTGTCTGACTTGTTTCAACCTAGCCTAGGTTAGCTCGGTTTGGCCTAGCCTAAGCCTAGGCTAGCCTCGCCTCACCTCGTGTCGCGTCGCGTCGCTAGCCACGTTGATCCTGCTCTCGTCGCCTCCGGCTCGACCATTGGCGGCGTATAGGTTATGTTCTTCGCACGATCAGCGTGACGCGTGCACGATGAGAAAGCACGCTTCTAACGTACGGCGTACGTATCTGTTCTTTGTACGTCATGTCATGACCTGGCTCGCTCTTCTTCCTCTTCAATCGTTAGATGGACGAGATTCGTCCTGTTGTAAAATGCTTCACGCGATTTCGAGAATGCGAGCGATCCCGATTGTGTTGGGCTCTTTTCCCAAATTGATCTCGTGCTTTCACTTTCGCTCGCTCGCTCGCTCATGATTCGTCGGAAGCGAGACACGTTCACTTGGTGGCGTGCGTCGTTCTTTGGAAATTTATATCTCTCCTTGCGTCACATACCGCATGTTATCTGATTTCCTCGAATTTTTCTATATAGACAAACGGCTTAATCAACGATTTTGAGATCACTGCGTTTCTTCTCGACGCATTCGAGAAAATTCGACGATCACGTGGCGCTCGTTTCCTTGAGGCGATTTTCCTCGCTTTAGCCCAATATTTCAGTTCTGATCAAAACGAGATCCGGAAAAATTGCAACGGTTAAAAGTGTGGACCGGTTGGTTACTCAATCAACAATGTCTCCGTGCTTCATTAACCTTGCAATTCACTCGGTCTCACGGTCTTACGTTGCGACGCGACCAGAGACCAGGTTAGAGATGCAAATATACGCATTTATATAATTTTCCAAAAGGAGTTATGAGACAGAAACTTGGAAAATTTGCTTACATACAGAGAGAACAATACCCGGAATTTAAAATCATGCGAATGAAATATAATGTTAGATCTTTATATATGTGTACACACATACACACACACATCGCTGTCACACTTTCTCATTATATATTTACTTACGTGTCCCCTAAATATTTATTAATATTTATTAATCCTTCGCTCGCCCTATATTGAGTCCACCTCGGCATCGCGTTTCGTTCCAGTCGATCGCGTAAACCAATTTTTTTACACACTAACTCTAGATATAAATATATTGCTATAAATGTGTCGTCCAGCGTTAGTTGGACGCTGAAATATCAAAATAAACGCGCCAACGCTATACCACACGTCGTTGTTCAGGGATGGCCGGAATTTTTTTTTATGGATTAACGGAGAATGCTGAGGTGAGGTCACCGGATTGACCACGAGGGTTTGTTGAAAGTTGTGCGGATAGCAGAGGCGTATGAAATGAAAATGTAGACAATACGAAATAAACGAAACGTAGACAGTAGACAAACAGAGACGTCTCTCTTCCGCGACGGATTTTCTTTTGTGACGTAGTTGTTACCCGTTGCGACGTCAGAACATTCGTTACTGACAGTTGCATAGTCAGCTGTTACGTTGCGCGCGAAAGGGAACTCACGGCTGATAAGCGTTACACAAGATCAATGTTACTCCCCGATTACGCTGTTTCGTAACCGTTTCCTCCCGCGTCCTTATCTGCCACGGCCGGGAAGACTGCGAACGAATTCGAGAGTATTCGTGGCTCTTCGTGCATTGAGAGCGCCTGGAAAAGGCGAGCGAGCTTTTTCGAGCTTTATTAGATTTGTCGAGGACAGAAAAAAAACCCGACGTTTCAATTCGCGAAGCAACTCTGGGGGAGATCTGTCGCGCTTGCTGAAAAATTCACACGCGCTGAGAACTCGATCCTAAGCGGATCGTGCAATTATAGCGTGCCCGGAACTTTTGATCCTGTAGAACAACGGTGTGCATCTCGGGTCCGTCACGCAGCACGTGCATTAACACGGAGAAGACGCGCTTGTGCATTATTTATACGCGTATCTCCGTCGTCGAGATCCAAACTTGCGTTACGACTCCATTTCGTCGCTCTCGATTCACGCGCGTCTGCCGGGTGGAAAATATAAAACAAACAAACAAAAAAAAAAACATTGCCAAGCTGTTTGACGCGCGTTGAAAAAACTTTCATCTATCTCCTCTCTTCTCCCTCTCTCTGTACAACTCTTAAACAGAGTATTCACAATCCTGTGCTCTTGTATATACAACTTTCTCATGATACTCTCGCCTTTGTCGCACATAACTTGTGTTTCTTGCTCTAGACTAATGGTTCCTACTTGTCCCATTGAGATCCTTAAGAGATTTACGGTGACCTCATTCTGCTTTTGGAATTTTTTTCTCATGGAAATTTTTTTCTGTATTGTCATTGCAAAGGATGAAGCAAGCTCGGGGAGTCGGAATGTTTGTGTCTGATGTCAGGGTATGTCTTAACCCTTGTCCTTGTGCCGTTATTTCTATTTTAATTTTTCCTTATGGTCTCTCTCACTATTACTATTATTTTTTCCGTATGTATCACCTCTCCGTTGTGTCATTTAATTTTCAATTTAAGCACACCTTATGTTCTCATAGTTTGATTTGCGCTTGATGAAAAATTCTTACTAGGATTTGTAGATTAAGCACTTAATCGCATTGCGTACCTATCCAGTTTTTATCGCTTTGCTATATGCCAAGGTTGCATTCTTTTTGAGAAAAATTTTACTCCATACTTATAGTTCACGTTACATATACTATAGAGTATCGAGTAAAATTTCCTCAAAAAGGACGTTTTGGAATGCAATCCAAGTAGGTTATTTACCCAAGATTGTAAACTAAACTTTACTCTCTATTCTCTCTCTCTTTCTCTTGCCAGCGTGCATTCGCATGCACGCATGCCAATGATCGCGCGAAAAGGTTCATTTATCGCGTTGTTGTAGACGCATGTCACTGAACTTTGTGCGTAACAGTATCGGTAATCGATAGTCGCTTGTGCCGAGTCCGGCGACTCGAAGTTCGGTGGTGAGAGAGAAAGAGAGAGAGAGAGGAGGGGGGAGAAGAAAAGCTACTCGCGTCATCGTCGTCGTCGTTATTCTCTCGTTATCGGTGTGAATTCGACGCACATGGGATTCTCTATCTGACTGGTGCAACCGGCGAATGCACACTCTCTCGGTGCTGCTATCCTTATCTACACGTAAATTCCGTCGTCGTCACATCATAGAGATATCCCCCTCTCCTGTCTCTGCGTAGCATCTCAAAATTATAACGGCGAGCGCAGCTTTGCTCGCTCGCTTAGCGAAGCCTACCCAAAGCTTATTTTTATCGCGGATATTTTCTTTCGGCGCAGTTCAACTTCGTCGTCATTCAGGGTGACTCTCGCCGGGCGCACAGCGAGAAACTAGACGCGATCTTCGAAATCGTCTCTGACGGATGGGTCTACCTTTGCGCGAGTTTCTCTGCGATGCACTCCCTAAATATCTTGGAGCGAAGTTTTATTCGAAATATAGTGACAAGTGAGGCGCTCGGATTCGAGTAATTTTTCACTCGTACAATTCGGATTTGAGTAATTTTTCACTCGTAAATTCTTTACTCTGATTTGCCGAATGACTATTTTCACTCGAAATTGTAGAGTGAATCTGACGTATTTCACCGTCGGAGAGACATATCATGACTCTAATCGATTGAAACATTTGTTCATATGGAGTCAGAATCCACCCCAACTTTGAGTGAAACGATCACTCTAGGTTTCGAGAGACAGTATTTTAATTATCGTCTCGAGTGAAAATATTGCCGTACAGTTGTTTTGTTTGAGATTTCACAAATTTAAAGAAATTAATGCTGCAATTCTAAGCAAATATACGAGTAAATCGTAAAGTTGTAGCTTACGAAAAAAAAAGCACATATTTATGAGTTATCATACGACATACGATCCGCATAGAATTGCACATCTACTTATAAGTTCTTACGAGTCTTACGATTTTGTCTGGAATCGCAGTATAAATCACGTGAAATCTGCGTCAGATCAGATGTTGGAGATGGAATTGAAGATTGGAATTTAAATCGGGTCAAAGCGTGCCAAAAAGACATGCTTATGATTAAATTGTTTTTATTGTTTCATCATTACTCAGTTCGTTAATTTGTCAAATTTCAATTTCTGCTTCATAACTTTCAATACCTAACTTGTTCTCGTCTCCGTACCTCGCTGTTGAATAGAATGCAACCCAGAATTCATTTAACTTTTCTCGCTCCGAGTGTCAAATTCGTCGGCTTTTTCGTGAGTTTTGGAATTCTGCTGCACACGTGTCATAGTATTTAGTCGACAGCGACGATGAAATTGTGCCGAATACAAACAGAATGGCAGAGATTACAAGCGAGCGTTGATGAACGGGTTCGTTTCAGCCGGCCAGGGAATATTTATGAGTAAACTGTCAACGTTGCGCAAAAATTCGCGAGATGTTAAATCGAGGACTCGCGTCAAACGCTAGGTCAGCCGCCAGGTTTTAATCAGTCGAATAAACAATAATGGATTGTACGTGCAACGTTGAATCGCGCGGTGTGGAGTGTGCGTGACGGTGGACGGCGACGACGTTGATGATGATGACAATGGCCACGCGTAACTCGTTCGTTCGTATACGTGTCGCGCACGTTCAATCTATATATTTCTTACCACGGATATTTATTTTCAAGCCGTAAACTTCGCGTTATTTGGCCGCTGACTCGCTCAGAAAATAACACACGTCGCGACGTGCACGTATTATAAAACATCACGAACAAAAAGCTGTGGTATTTTCCGAAATCATTTTTAACACATCTGGGCATCTGAGCTTTTCGTCGCGGACACATTTCACATTCCGTGTGTGTCTCTACACTCGGTCGCTTTTCGCGATACATGCGGGTCGTTTTTGCCAATATTCAGTCTACATCAGTGTTGCCAG